CTTTGCATTTTCCAATTTTGAGATGTGAGTTCAAGAAATATTTTACTAGTCTTCTCACGAGTAATGGGAAATAGGAAAGCAATTCAGTTGATGATTAAGCCCAGCATGTGGTGCCCATGCTATCTCATCGCTACACTAATAGCAGCCTGTATTTACTGAGCACTTTCTATGTGTCAGGCACCGTGTTAAGCTCTTGGCATGCAACATTTCCTTTAATCCTCTTAACAGACCTACGAAATAGGTACTAGGATTGTGTCCATTTTTCAGGTAGACAAACAAAGACACAGAGATCTAAAGCAGCAAGTGCCAAGTCACACGGATAGTCGGCAGTGGCACAGAACTGCAACCAGGCTGTGTCTGGGGTCCACACAAGGCTAGTGGCCAGTATAGACCAGCGAGTTTTTACTGCCTAAAAGGGGAAGAGTCTGGTCCCCCAGGCAGAGCTGGGCAGAGGACAAAGGGAGGTGATATCAAATCACAAACAGCTCAGAATAGCCACGCTGGGCGCTGGGTGGGCTCTGCCCTTGGCTATCCCCCAAGTTCTCAGAGCGTCTCACAAGCTTCTTCTTGGGCACTCCCACCCTTTGCACAATGCTCCTAAGTTTGCTCACTATTCCTGGGATGGAAGAAGTCGTGGTTTTGGAAGCTACAGATGGAGTGGCAGATGGGAAGTGAAAGCCTATCAGAGTTGCCCAGGATAAAACCATTCATCTGCAAAATTCATATGTTTTTGTGTGGGGCGACTTCACGAAAACAACAGCAAGAGGAACCAGCAGTGCTTGATGCATGAAGTGCCTCTGGCCAGCAGGCTGGCAAGGCACAGTGGGCAGAAGAACCTGGGGGTGGGCATGGAAATGGGAGCAGAGAAAGGCAGACTGATAGAGATGCGGAGACCTGGAGGATAAAGCTGAAAAGACTAGAAATTGGACGACTCTCTTCTCTGAACACCCAAATAGGCGGGGCACATGGTCTGGGAAAGGAATTCTGGGTCCCTCGGAGATATGAGGCTCAGCCATACACACAAGGGAATTAACTGGCGACCTTTACCGAGAATTTCTAAGTGCTGCCAGGTTGAATTATTACAACCCGATTTCACAAAGATTGGGTTTACTTGATGATGGTTCTAGTTCTGCTAGTAAAGTGGCAGAACTCGGACTCAAACTTTAGCCATCTGCTGAAAGTTGGAGCCCTCCTCCTCTTGGATGAGGAAATGCTAGAAATTCTGATATTCCTGCAGAGTGGACTTGGTTAAGTGGCCCCAGTTACAGCTTCAACTTGCAAATCAACCCAGGGCCCCTAGGGGGGAGCCTCAAGACCTGACATGAGTCTCCTGTAAGGGCCATAGGCCTGGGCCCAGCTCCCTGGTGGACCTCTGCCACCCGATCTAGGCTGAAATAACCTCCTGGACCCCCACTGGAGGCCTGGAGGAAAGAGTGTGGGAATCTTGATCCTAGCTAGTCAGACTCAGGGACAATAGGTGACTCTCATGAGATTTCCTGCTGCCAGGTGATGCAATCACTACTCTGCCCAGCCAGGAGTTTGAGGAGTGTCTGTGCTCTCTAGTCACCCTGGGGCCATCCCACTACTCTTGACCAGCTGACTCCCCCAAGGGGTCAACTTCAAGCAGAAAGAATACCAACCTTAGAACCAGACAGAACTGGTTCTAATCCTCACACTACCATGTACTCTTTATATGATCTTGGGCCTCAGCCCTTCAATAAAATAGGTTTGCTTTGAGGGTGGTAGGAAGTACCTTCCACATTAACTGCTACACTCAGCATTTTAGGATATTTCTGAACTCAGTCCTTCCTTGGAAGATGGAGGGAGAATGTTCTAACTCACCCTTGCCCTGTCACTCTCTAAATTCACCTCTCCTCATTCTTTTTTTGTACTCTATTCACGTTTAAATTTCACAAATGCAACTATTTCATCTCTGACCCAAGTCTTGTCCAGGCTGTTCTTTCTCTCAGGAACTGGAGAATTTTCAGCGGGAGGTGATTTTGCCCTTAGGGAAAACAACAACTAGAGATATTTGTGGTTGTCACAGTGACTGAGGGTGGGGAGCACTACTGGGATCTGGTAGGTAGAGAGGCCAGGGATGCTGCTGAACATCCTACAGTGCTCAGGCCAGCCCCATGGCACAGAATGATCCAGCCTATTATGTCAATAGAAATCCTAGTCTAGAATAATCTCTTTCTTATTTGCTTGCTAGTCCCTTCTTATCCTCAGGTCTCAATGCAAAATTGCATATTCAGAGGCCCTTTGACCTCTGATTATGCCCCTCTTGCACTCAGACCATATTCCTTTCTTTATAGCCCTTGCACACCTTGCATGGCACCTCTCTTACCCAATTACCAGTTCCATCTTCCCAACTAGGGTACCACCAGGAAGGGGCTGTGTGGCTTTTGTTCTCTAAATGCTGAAATAGTGCCTAGCACAGTAGCTGCTTAATAAATCTTTGTGGAATGAATGTTTGAATGAATAATTAATTAAATAAAAATCTGCCAGTGATGTTTCAAAATCACCCTTTTTTTATCCATGTTAGCCTATAAACAAAAAAAAAATAGGTACTATTGTACCACCACCCCCCCTGCCCCCGCAACCCATCATTTTATCAGGTTCAGAGTGCCATGTATACTCTGCCTCCACTGAGCAAAGATTGAGCCTTCCCCAGATATCCTCCAGAGTCCAGGGTCTCCTGGCAGATGATGGGATGCCACCAAGCCCAGGACTGAAGGAGTACACCACAAACCACACTGTGAAGGAGACAAGCCATTTCTAGCTTTAAATAGAGGTCTTCCCTCCATGCCTGTATCTTATTTGGATCCTGACTCCAAAGCCAAACTCCTGAGAATATGTGGCCTCAATATTTCATGACATTAGGAATGACTGTTAATATTTTAGATGTGATCATCATATTGATGTTATGTTCAAAGAGAGATATATACTGAAATATTTACAGATACAGTTTTATGATGTTGTGGAAATGCTTTGCTGGAGTGGGGGAAGAGGGCAAGAGCGCAAATGCAACCAGGCTATGAACTGATATAGCTGAAACTGGGTGATGCATATTAGTCTTAGGACTCTTGTGCATGTTTGAAAATTACCCTGATATAACTGTGTGTGTGTGTGTGTGTGTGTGTGTGTGTGTGTGTGTGTGTGTGTGTGTGTGTGTGTGTAATCCTTACCCAAGGCTACATCCATTGATTTCAGAGAGAGAGGACGAGAGGGAGGAAGGGGAAGGGGGGAAGAGAGAGAGAGAGAAACATTGATCAACTGGTTGCCTCCTGTGTGTGACCCAACCAGAGACTGAACACATGCAACATAGGTATGTGCCCTATCTGGGACTTGAACCAGTGACCTTTCAGTGCACAGGAAAATGCTCCAAGGAACTGAGCCACACCGGCCAGGGCAGTGTGTTTGTGTTTTCAGATTCTGTCAGTTAGCCTTTCTGGGAATGCTGTCCCCAGTGCCCTCATGGCATCAGAGGAAGGAAGGCCCTCTCCTTCACACACTTTGTCCCCTCTCCCCATCCACTCACTTTTGTTTTTCAGCTTTCTCAGTAAATCAGGATGGAAGCCACAGTTGAGCAAAGAACTGCCATCTTTTTTTTTAAGATTTTATTTATTTATTTTTAGAGAGGGAAGGGAGGGAGAAAGAGAGAGAGAGAGAAACATCAGTGTGCGGTTGCTGGGGGCTGTGGCCTGCAACCCAGGCATGTGCCCTGACTGGGAATCAAACCTGAGATGCTTTGGTTTGCAGCCCACACTCAATCCACTGAGCTATGCCAGCCAGGAGAACTGCCATCTTGATAGGACATATAGTTCTTTTTCTTGCCTTTGTCTCTGGAAGGGTTTTCTTTGCTTATGGTCTGTTTTACAGAGCAGATCAATGTCTATGCAGAGAGACTTTGGGCTCTGGCCCCAAAGAGAGATTTTGGGCTCTGGCTGCTGGCCCCAAGGAAAGTCTCAGGGCTGCTGGCTGCTCTGTCAGCTCCACAAAATTGTGGCCATGCTGCAGGCCCAGAGTGGACAGAACTTTGAGAGAGGCTCAAAATCTGTACTTTCATGAGAAATCTCCCAATTTAAAAATGCAGGCAATCAATCCATTTTTAATTTGATAGGAGGGAGAAGGAAGGAAGGAAGGAAGGAAGGAAGGAAGGAAGGAAGGAAGGAAGGAAGGAAGGAAGGGAGGGAGGGAGGGAGGGAGGGAGGGAGGGAGGGAAAAGAAAAAGCCCAAACATCCCTGGTCCTCAAATGTCAAAACCAACCTCCCTTCTTCTACTCTGAAGTCACACCTTGTCCTCCTCTGCTCAAAACATGCTGGTGGTTCCCATCTTACTTGAGTAAAAGCCAAATTCTAGAATCTCTATGATCTTGCCCCAATTTTTTTCTCTGGTCTTCTGTCTCTTACTACCCTATGCCTCACTTACTCTGTTCCAGCCACATGGGGCCTGTTGTTCCTTCAGCACACCAGGTGTGTTCCCATCTCAGGGCTCAGTACCTGCTGTCCCTCTTCCTGGACCACTTTCCCTGCTGAGTGACTCACTCCTCCTTCCTCTGCCATCCTTCTCGGGAAGGGCAGTCCTGGTCATGTTGGTTAAATGACAACTCTCCCCTCTATTCTCTCCCTGCTTTGTTTTTCCCATGTGCCATTTGACTTATTTTTTATTTGTCTCTCTGACTTGGATGGAAGCTCTGTGTGGGGAGGGGTGATGGACCCTTTAGTGTTTCCTTAAACAGAGCAGGAAAAACTGTGTACTCAAAAAATACCTGTTGAATGAATGAATGAATGAATGAATGTATGCACACATGATTCTTGGGTCCAACATGGATCCTGTGCTGAGAGATCTATGAAGATAGAGATATCTGTCATGGATAAGAAATGCTTCTCTGGACAGGAGGCAAACTGCCTCTGCCTCTTGTTTCCCTGCCAAGACGAGGAAAGGCCAGAGGGAGCAGGACCTCAGCACGGGTAGCTGGGGCTGCAGGCCACCTTACCTGATGGGGTAATCGGCTGCACTGAGGTTGATGAAGAAGTCCCAGGGCCAGTCAGTCATCTCCAGGAGGTCCCGCATGCTCTGTAGGTATGTGGACAGGAGGCTGGCTCCTCCCCAGATGGTGGCCATCCGCCAGGGGGTGACACGGATATTGTCGTACTGGCTGGCGAACTGGAGCACTTGGCGATGCAGGTAATTGGAGCGCTTTTTCCCAGGAGAGAAAGGAATGACATTCAGCAGCCCAGAAAACAGCCAGACATGCCCTCTGTCCCCTCTCTGTCCCTTCCCTTCTAGCTGACAGGGTTTCTAAACTTTGCCAAGGAACTGGCTTAGGCCTGGGGCATCTTTCTGCATCGAGACTGGAACCTTTATTATTTTTAAAATTTTGCTTTAGTGATTTAAAATGCAGATTTCCTGGCCCTGCCTCTCACATACTGGTTCAAGAGGAGCCTGAGACTCTGCATTTTATATAAGGCTGATGCATGTGGTCTGAGGATAGAAAGCTTTGAAACACGACTATCAAACCTGAGGTGTATTCTAAGGGGTGGAATGTCTCCGTTACCCTCTGACAGGCCTGCTAGAAGCAGACCTTCAGATTAAGCATCCCTTCACCTTTTGAGTAAGGCTACTCACGTCATGTCAGCAGACTACCAGAAACCTCTGGGACAAGAGAGCTCAGGGGCCAGCAAGAAGCCTGCTGCAGGTTTTTGTAAATGAAGTTTTTCTGAGACATAGCCACACACTTTCATTTATGCATTGTTTATGGCTGCTTTCACATGACAATGGCATAGCTGAGTAGCTATGACAGAGGGTATGGCCTTCAGTCGTAAATATTTACTATCTGGTCCTTCATAGAAAAAGTGTGCCCACTCTGGGGGTAGCTATCCTCAGGAAGTGGCAGACAGTGCACCGGCCAGTGGGACAGAAGGAAAAGAGGTAAGAAAATGAATATCTATGGAGAAAGTCTAACGTCACAGCTGGGAACTTTGAAACCAAAACCTACACATGCTCACAGCACTCCAAACACTCCTGGGAGAGGCAGCTGTTCAGCCTACTAGCCTTCCCTGAAAGGGAGGGTGGCTTGAAGTGGGGCAGACAGACACACAGAGAAAGGCCAGCAGGGGGCAACTGGAAAGGAGTCTCACCTTGTCCACGTGGATGTAGTAGAAGTGGTCTTTGTGGTAGATGGCCTTGAACATGCGCTGCAGCTGCCGAGAGGCACGGCCGTGGACCACCAGGACAAAAGCAATTCGGACTGGGTTGGCCAGCATGTACTCCACAGAATCCTCGTCCCATTGGACATTCTTGTTGGCCTTGCCTGGGGAAAACCCGAAAGATCACAGAGGTGGGTGAGGATCAGCAGTTCCTCTGGGGACAGGTTCCCTGATGCTTCATCTTGGGGACTACTGAAGGGGCACAACAGTCTTACTGGGCCCGGAAACCTGATTCAACCTAACCAGGCATGTCCTGGACCCTTACACTGCCCTCTGCAGCAGGAGTCGGGGACCTTCAGGTGCTTAAGTCATAGTTTCCAACCTCAAGGAGCTTTAAAAAGCTGGTGGAAGCACATAGGTACACACATTAAACTACTGAACAAAAGGAGATGAGAGGTGTAAGAGATGTATCTCTGAACTACAGAGTAAAGCGCAGTTAATCCTTAATTGGAAAGTGTAAGATGCCTGCGCTGCTTTTGCCTGTCTAGGATCCATTCTTCTGTTTCCTCCTAACAGCATCCATTTTTTAAACAATTGTGGTGAGAAAAGATAACGTAAGAGCTACCCTCTTAAAATTTTAAGAGTACAGAACAGTATTGTTGATTGTGAGTACAAAGTTGTACAGAAGACATTTAAAACTTACTCATCGTACATAACAAAAAAAATATGCCATCCAATATTCTGTGAGGCATCATTCCCCTCCTCCATTCTCAGTCAACACAGATGGGGAGGACCCCCCTCCATCATGAATTTCAAGGGCGTTCACAGGGCTTTGGCTTTGGCAGTTAGAACACTGCATCTCCCTGAACATAGTTTGTGTAACTCAGAGGTGAACATGTGACCCAATGAAGCTAATTAGCCAAGAAGACAGAATTCTAGACTTTTGTTGAAGCAACCGTAGAAGAGATGTTCTTTTCTGGTACACATGAAACTGGGTGATTCCAAGAGACCCTCTGTCCACACCTGGAGAGGGGCTGCCCAAGAGGGCGTCCAGCACAGAGAAAGCACTGCCGAGTGACGGAGGGGGTCTACATCCTGATGGCCCCACTCGGGCTCGCAGGTCAGCCTGGCTGGGGATCAGCCACCATCAGTCACATCCTAGTTCTTTGAAAGCCTGCATCTTACACAAGATCCACCTGGATAAATGGTTTCAAATGTCTTTTATCCTGGAATTTTCTCCTCCTTTTCCTTGCAAATGCACCAGGGGCAAGGTTTCACAGAGAAACACAGCTTATTGGTTTAGTTCATTACAATTCCAACTAGAGATCTCCTGGCTTCCTTCAGCCTGATTTCCTCTGAGTCTAGCCTGACTTCTTATGGGTTTCTAGGTGTATGGGCCCAGAGCATTATCAGGGTATTAGCTGCATGTGTCCCACGATGTTAACTGGGGAGGCCGAGAACGGGGGCTGTTTAGCCTGGAGGTCAGGAGATTGGGAGCCTGTCAGCTGTCACTGGAAAGCTGAAGGGCTGCCAAAGGAACAACGCACCTTCCGCCTTCAATGGATGGGATGAGGCTGACGTGGCTAATGACCAGATCGTTAATGGCCCAGCCTCCGCAGCCTACGTGACCTGCCTCCTGCAGACCTCTGCCCTGATTAGCCTTACTACTTACCTCATTCCCCTGGCCTTCTTCTTTCTTTACCTTGAGCAAGCTTGTGTCTGCCTCAAGACCTTTCCACTGGCTATTCTTGCTACCTGGAACACCCCTTCCTTAGATCTCTGCATGACTGCGTCTCCTTGTCATTAGTCCACAGCTCAAGAGAAGGCCACCTCCCACCAGCCACATCACTCTTTCACCTCACCCTTTTTCAATTTTCTGTAGAGTATTTAACACTCTCTGAAATTGTTTATTCATTTACTTGTCTATTGTTTAAATATCTCACTAGAACATAAACTCCAAGAGATGAAGGACTATTTAGTCTTGTTTGTCATTAAACATACAACATTATAATAATAGCTAGCACACATGTGGTTCTTGGTTCAGAAAAAGTTACAGGAGGGTCCGTTTTGGTTCAGTACCATAGTAATAGCAATAGAGTTTACTGAGCACTGATCAGCCTCGCCATTCATTATTTCATGTAATCCTCATAACCACCCTGCAACATAATGATATTATTCCCATTTTACAAAGGAGGAAACCACAGCTTAGAGAGGCCAAGGGATTTATTTGTTTGAGGTCACACCACTTTAATTAGTTCAGCTGAGATTCAAACCCAGGTCTGTTTCCAAAGCTGATGCCCTTACCCACTAATATACACCATATTAGCACACCCAGAATTTGGAAAAGTTTACAATTCTGCTTGTTAGTTAATGAAATACATTGTGAGTTACTGCAGATAAATAAGCATGCATTTAAGTGCTATTAGAGGCATTGCAGGGAGGATTCTTGCATCAAGTGGGAAGCTGACTCTAACTGTCAATAAAGACACATCTTTTCATCCATCCATCCATCCATCCATCCATCGTATCCATCCATCCATCCATGCATCTGTCTATCCATCTATCCACCCACCCAGCCATCCATCCAGTCATGTATCCATCCATACAATTTCAACCACTCATCCAGCAAATCATTTAACTACCCATCTAGCAAATTATTCAACAGCTTCTCATCCAAAAAAACCAACCATCCATCCATCCATCCATCCACTCACCCATCATCCTCAAAGCAAATCATCTGTAAATCCATTCTTCAATCATTTAACTATCAACTCATTGATCTATACAATATTAGCTTAGTCTATACCACATGCTATGTTCTGAGTTAGGTACTAGAAAAATAAAATTTGGGAGAAAAAAATCCTTGCCTTTGAAGAACTCTCAGCCCACTGTGGAAAACAGGAAAAAATGCTGATTTGTTTTATGATAGAAATGTGTTCAGGTTGCTCTTGGGGGTTGGGAAGAAGTGAACAGTCTGTCTGCAGGGACAGAGGAGACCTCAGAGAGTTTAGCCCCAAGCTTCTGAGTCCATTTCTTCAAGCTCTCCTGATGAGTCCTAATTGTCTTTGGCTCCTTGGCTGTTCAATCAGCAGCTGTGACCCTGGGGATAATTATCCTCTTGGCTCTGGTTGAAGACAGACTGGGCAGCAACCAGAAGACTGTCTACAGCACCCTCTAATCTTCTCCCAAAACCAATCACCATACTCTGGGCTTTCCTGATGACCATACAAGGGGGACATCTGCCTGGAGGGAACATATTCCTTTAAATACTCACACAACACTCTATCCCTCCCTCCCTACCACCCTCCCTTCCTCCTTCCCTCTATCCAACCAACCAGACAACCAACCAACCAACCACAAAGTATCCTTAAGACCCCTCACTTGAGAGCCCTGGGCAGTCTGGACTAAGACATGTAGCACATGAGTGTGGTTTCACCAATGTATTGTGAATGGATTAAGGAATGTGAAAATCTAAAGTAAAAAAAACAATGTGTGAGAAAAGCTTCTATTCTCTTTCCACGGCCTCAGTCAAAGGCAGTGTGTGCTGGCTGGGTGGGAGCTCTCCTTGCCACCCTTGGAGACTACTTATCAAACAAAGTCACTTAAAAGCAACTGCTACTTGTGCCACTTTTCTCTCCCAGAATTTCACTGGGTGATTTTCAAAGGTCCAAGCATGGTCCATGACACTGTATTTCATAGGAAGTCCACTCTGTAGAGGCCCCTGCTGTACTCAGATAATACTGGTCATCCCTGCCCTTAGGTCTCTGGGTAACAAGGATCTGGAGTTCTTAGCAATTTAGACTCATGGGGCCTTTGGGATCAGGCCGTGCTCTATCCAGCCATAGTGTGTCTTGTCATCATTGTCAAATGGGTGAATGAATGAATGAGTGCATGCGTGCATTCTGGAGAAGAGTGGCTGCTCTGGTTCAGAGCAGCTGATATCTCCCGAGGGCCTGCTGTGCACCAGCACTGTGCAGAGGCATCAGCTGCCATTTGGTTCTGGGGGGAAGGTGCACAGAGAGGCTGGAGGAGCACTTTCCCCAGTCACACAGTGAGCAAGGACAGAGGTGGGAGTGAAAGCTGTGAGTGGCTGAGCCCATAGCTGGCCTTGCTATCTCCACCCCATCCTCTGCTGAAGTGAAGAACTGGGAGACTGGAGGATAGGTATAAAGATTTTGTGCTGATCTTTAAAGGAACTGGCACGTTAATGTTGAACAAAGCCTTTTGTGACATCTCTTTAGGGTTTTAGAATGAAGAGGAGATTCACGGATGGACAGACTAGAACAAGGATGTCACCCCTCTGGAGAAGGGGAGGGAGCATTGGGAAATCAAACACTCTCACTCCAGCATCCTCCACTTCAATATACAGTCAGGGACCACACGGTTTGTCTGCAGAGTAGCAAAGAGAAGCAGGAATAAAAACCCAGAGTTCTTCTGGGAGAGAGCTATTTTGGGGGTGGGGTAGGAGAGAAGGACCAAAATATCCAAAGAAAGGAGAAACACACAGAAGGAGAGAGGGATATAGGGATGAGAGGTAGACAGACAGAGATATGAAGAGAGACAGAGACAGAGAGAGAAAAGGAGAGACAGAAACGAAAAGACAAATAGAGAGAAAAACATAGATGATAGGTAAATGGATGGGTAGATAGATAAACGGACAGATGAACACATGGAAAATAAACAGGAACACAGAAAGGTCACACATACACTGACCCCAAAACAGAGAGACCTTCAGACAGAAAGACACCCCTCTGCCCCTTACTCCCATATATGAAGAGAGAAACATATGGAGATACCTAAACAGAAACACTGAGAGAGACAGAGACACACAGAGATATAAATAGAAACAAACACATATAATTAGACACAGAGAGACAGGAAGAGACAGAGGGCAGGAAGGTAGCCACATTGGACAAGCTGGATCCATTCAAAATCAAAACATTGCAGCTATCCTTAAAAGCAAAGGCACATGAGCACCAGAATCTCAGAATTAAAAAAAAATGCTTGTCTTGCCCCGTCTACATCTGTCCTTCACACACCTGCCCCTCCCCTGCCCCAGGTCAGCTCCTGCCCTCTCAAGAGCCTAGGAATGAAGGAAGAAGTCAGAGCTCAGAACAGTGAAGCAACTCACTCAGGGACCCACCAAAAGTGGTGGGACACTCAC